CCGCCGAGCCAGGGTGAGCGCCTGGGCTGGTGGGGCCGGGGATCAGGGCCCAGGGACAGGGGTCCGGGCAGGCCTCCTGGAGGTGGGGACTGGTCACCAACTCCTGGCGCTCTCCGAGCTCAGTACACCCTGAATTCCAACCCATGCCCAGGGCTGCAGAGTGAGTGAGTTGCTGAGAGAGTTGGGAGAGAGTGGCAGGACTGTGGCCGGGAGCCCTTCCAGGGTTCCTGGAACACAGCCCCCAGTCTGGAGGTAGTTCCCAGTGGGCTCCAGCCTCTTGGTTCAGGGGTTCGGTGGCAGGAAACTGGGACTTTTGAAGAGATGCTGGAATACTGGTGTCCAGAGGAGTTCGGGCACGCAGGGACCCTGAGTTAGAGGCAGGTGGACGCAGCCGCCATTTGGAGCAATGGGCACCATCCTGCACTCTGCCTGGTAGGAGGCCAGGGCACGGGGCACACAAGGGTTCTCTAGGGGGCGAGGTGGCAGAATGGGGCCAGCAGGTAGTGACCTCAGGGTGAGGACCGGGGCCTGGAGAGGGGGTGGGGACAGTGTTTCTGATGTCCGGGATCGACCCGGCTGGGAGGGCGTGAGTCACAGTGGGCACCATGCCCAGTATGAATGCTGTGCTCCCTGCAATGACCTCTTTATGCTCCTGGGGGCGGGGTGGGGTGGGGGGGAGGAGCAGGACTCCTGGGTTCCTGGCGATGCCAAGCCACTACGTGTCCACTTCTGTTTGATTTGTGGCTCTGGTGCCATCTCCCCATCACTCGGTATTTCTGGATGTCTCTTTCTTCCTGACAGGAGGGTGTGAGTGTTTGGGTGCAGAAGAGCCTTAATCCAGTCCTGGCCTTTGTGTCCTAGGCCTCTTCCCGCCATCCTCTTGTCTCTGCGCCTGCCTCAGAGGGGCAGAGTTGGGATGTGTGTGAGCTGTGCCCCTGCCTAATCTGATCACCTGCCTAATCCTCACTGCCTAATTTTGCTGTGTTTCTGCATCTGTCACCACCCCCCTCTCCAATATGACAGTAAGACCCAGTGTTGCCCCAGGTCCAGGAGGGGGGGGGCTGAGGGGAGAAGAAACATACCTGTATTATAGCATAAAGGATTGAGGTTAAACCTAAGAACTTCCCACAGGGGAGATGCCAGATCTGGCCCTTCATGGGGGCTTTGATGTCTCCTCTTCAGGCTGGGTGTGGTAGCTGTGGGGGGATTAGCACATGACATTCTCAGGAGTCTGGCTGGGAGGGATTGGGGGGAGGGAGATTGAAAGGAAGGAAAACAGAGGGGGAGAGGCAGAGATAAGGGAGCAGGGCCAGCGCCAGCAGGGCCTGGGTGAGGATGGGGCCTGAGAGAATTCATGCCCCTCGACTTGGATTACAGGCAGGCCCCCCAGGGAGTGGCACCCCCAGGCAGCTGGCAGCTCCAGGCAGGATGTGAGGAGGGAAGGAGGGGGGCGGCATGCGGGGACCTGTCCCAGCTACTTCTCTTCACTGGGGCAGCTGGTGGCTTAAACCTTAATCCAGGACACCAGCAAAACAATAGGCCCTGCAAACAGCCTGGGCTCTGGAGGGCAGCCGCAGGCTGTCCACACTGGGGAGGAGGACTCAGGAAGGAGGCCACAGTGGGGGGCCCCTGAGGTCCTGCTCTCTCCCCATGAGTTCGCTCCTGGCCATGTCAGGGGCTTGCAAACCTCAGCAGGATTCCCAGAGAATGTCCTCCTCTGGGCTCCTCAGACTCCCACAGAAGTGGGGGGGCGGGGTCACAGCCATCTGTGGGGGGAGCTGTTGCCCTTGCTGCCCTCCCATCTGGGGCTGGAAACCCCCGAGAAGGCTTCCCAACTGGGGAGGCCCGCTTTTGCTTGGACCCTTCTGGGAGCGGGAGCTCGCAGCCCGGCAGGTGGTTTTCCAGACGTCTAGGGTTCACAGGCTCTTCCTTGCCCAGAGCCCTGCTCAGGCTCCTTGTAGCTACCCCTCTGCCTGGCCGTGCCCTGCCACTGTGGAGCACGCCTACTGCCTCTGTCATAGTAAAGCACCCCTCTGCCAGGCCCTCCTCCCTACGCAGAAACCCCCAGCTAGGGCTGGTTACCCGCAGGGCCGCAGGCTCCCTCCTGGCGAGCTTGTGGAGATGTGAGCTGCTTCTTTGTGCCAGTGCACCTGAGCGGTGCGTTCGCCTCTCTCCAGCCTCCAGCTGGCAAGGAGAGGAGAAGCAGGAAGCTGCCCTGAGCAGTGGCCTTCTCGCTCTGCATCCAGCCTTTTCTTCCTGCAGCTGAGGGGCCCTGGAGAGGTGAAGGGGCGTGAGTGGGGACGGGGGGCTTCTTATCCCCCGCGTGCTTTGAGCTAGGGGTACCAGATAGGTGAGGCCGCCCTTTATTGGGGGTTGAAAGTCTCCTGGCTTTTTAGTCAGTGGCATCTCCTCCCTGCACACGCCTCTGGCACCCACTCTCCCTCTGAGCAGGGAAACTGTTGTCCATTGTCTTAGCCCCGGAAACAAACCTTCACCCCTCAACTCTTGTCTTCAGACACCCTCTGCCATGTACTCCTGGGGAATCCCAGGCATTCCAGCAAGTTGGTCAGAGGGCTGTGAGTGTCTCCCCGCCCACCCGGTTTCCGGAGAACCAGAACCAGCCTCTGGGCTGGGCTCCCGGCCTCAGGAAGTCGCTTTGGTCGTCGGCGGCTGGCGCTCCCTGTGGTCCGGGTTCCCCACCTGTCCCTGCTGCTGCTCCCGCTGCGTGTGCCATGTGCCGCCTCTCCTGGCACACGCCCCCCCGGTGTGCGCCAGCCTGCATGTGGGTGCGTGCGTGACTGGCTAGGTGCAGCTGCGTGAGCGCGTCTGGGGCCACGCTGTCTGTGCACTTGGCACGTGAGTGCTCGTCTGGGTGTTTGCGGTGTGATCTGCCTGCCCAAGTGTGTGAGTGTCGGTGGGCTTGTGCGGTTGTGGAGCAGGCGGGAGTGAGCTCAGATCACGGGGGGCACTTACCACTTACCACTGTGTCCAGTGCTTGGCACATAGTAGGTGCTCAGCGAATGCCGAACAAACTGGGTGAACGCTTGGCCCCCTGTAGGGAGTTTTTCCCTGGCACGAAGGGATTGACTGAGGGGAAAGGAAGAAGCTACTGGGCACTGAGGGTGGGAGAGGAAGGACGAGGCGAGGAGCAGTCAGGCCCCCGGGCCTCGTCCAGGCCCCGCACGCAGGTGCCCGGGCTGCGGGAGGCTGTGCTTGCTGAGGGGAGGGTGGGCACATGGCCACTCAGTGCTGTCTCCCTGTGCCCGCAGCTGCCCCTGGGCCCGAGAGATGGGTGCTCTCCCGGGCGCCCCCTCCCCTGGCCGGGGCCGCGCACGCTGCTGCTGCACAAGAGTCAGAAGGATGGCTTTGGCTTCACCCTGCGCCACTTCCTCGTGTACCCGCCGGAGTCGGCTGTGCACAGCAGCCGGAAGGTAGGCGGGGGCTGGGGGCGGGGCGGGGCGGGGCTTCCTGCACACTGTCCCTTCCACTGTCCTCCTGGGAAGCGGCTCTCTCAGAGCCTCTCTGACTGGACTCTGACTTCTCCAGCTCCGTCTTCTCAGGGGCAGGGCCGGGGGTGGCCAGGCAGGAGACCTGAGGGATGCCCCCTCGCCCCAGACGATTGGCCTCTGGAGGCTCAGCAGGCGGCTTGGGGAGGTGCAAGTGCTGGAACCCCTTGCCCGCTGGCCGCGTCCAACTGGGTTGGCACACCTCTGGCGCCCTCCAGAGCGCAGGTCACAGCTCTGGGAGGCTGGGAGGAAGGAGGCTTGGCTTCTAGTCCTGAGCAGTTCCCGCATCATGGTGGGTGTCGGGATGATCTGACCCCTCTCTCTCTTTTTCTCTGGTCACCTGAGAACGTTTAACTACTGGGGGGCCCTTCCAGCCCTAATACAAGTGTCAAACTCTGAGTCCAGGAACCAGGGCTGCTTAGTCCAACCCAAGGGTACAGACTCAAGGGGTGTCTGACAATGAAGCAGACATGGGAGAAGACGTGAGGGCGTCTCAGGCAGGAATCAGGGCTCCCCAGGAGTGCCCTATGCTCTTCTCCTACCTCTCCCAGCAGCAGCAGAGAAGACAGATTTATTTTGGAGTCAATGAACCCCTTCCACCCCTTCCCCCAGGGCTGGGATCAGTCTGCACAGCTGCTTCTCTGTGTGTGCACGTACACATCTAGACACATACATGTGTGCCCTGTAAGTGCATCATGCGTGCCACCTTGCGGCGCTCAGCCATGTCTGAGTCTGGGGCACCTGTGGAAACTGTTCTCATTGATGTAGCCAGGCTCCAGAGCGTAAGTAGGGCTGGTGGTGTGTGCCCCACGCCTTGATGCCCATGGACACCAGCCACCAATTCCCTGGGTGCCCCATCCTTCCTTCCCTTCTTCCCCAAAAGCCTCACCCTCATGGTCCCTGCCTTCCCTCGGGGGACCCGGCTGCAGGGTGACAGGAGCGGAGGTCGCTGAGTGGCCTAGGCTGGCCACCTCTGTCTCATCTATGCGGGGCGCTGAAAGACCCTGGGGCAGAGAAGCCCGGGACAGACTCCAGCCCTTTTCTAGAACCTGTCCGGGCCGGGAGCCTGCGGGGAGCCCGGCCGGCCGTCTGATTGCGTCCATCTGCCTCTGCCACCCGCTGTCAGCTCACCAGCTGTCAGCTCACAGCAGTGGGCACGCCCCACACACCGGAGACCAGGGGCAGAGGGCCAGCTCTGGCAGTGCCCAGTGGCTTTCCTGGGGCCCACCCTATCCTGGCTGCCTGCCAGAGTCATGGGCTCGGGCCCTGGCTCTGCCACTGAGTCTCTGGGTGGCCCTGAGACGTCTCAGCCTGCGTCTCGGCGAGGTGTGGCAAGGACTAGGCCAGGTGACAGCAGCGGTCAGGTCCAGCTCCCCAGAGCCAAGTCCTGCGGCTCTCTCTCTCTCTCTCTCTCTCCCCCCCCGCCCCCTCTCCTTTCAAACCTGAGCGTGTCAGTCTGACTTCTGTCACTTGCTGGTGCTGACTTTCTCCTCCGGCTCAGCCAATCCGGACTTGCTTGCCCTTGCCACCAAGCACTGCACACCCACCCTGTACCCGAACACCTGCTCCCAGCCACCCTCCAACTGGCCTCCTTCTCCCCTCCCCACCCCCCCAGGCACCCTAATCAGCTTCCCTTCCCCTCTCTAAGAGCTGATAGCCACTGTCTGCGCTGGTCACACCTGCTTATCTGAGTCTGCCGGGTGTTCTCTGTGTTGGGGAGCTTGGCGCCTCCTCCTCCCCCTGGCTGTGAGCACCCCAGGGGAAGGGGCCCAGGGTCCCCCATGGGGCTGGGGGCTTTCACACCCCTGTTATGGTGGAATCAGCAGGCATGAGAGGGTTCATGTTACTGGGAACTGTCCCCAGGACACCCCTCCCAGCCTGTCCCCTGTGGCTAGCTGAAGGGAGATAAGAGGGCAGGCCCTTGGGTGGGGGTGTCTGAAGGGGTCCACCCAGTGGAGCTGCTGAGGGCCACACCTGCCTCTCTGTCCCCTGCAGGAGGAAGAGAATGGAGGCCGAGGAGGAGGTAAGGAGCCTGGGTTGGGCTGGGCTGGACTCCACTCCAGCTCGTCTCTCTCCCCCTCCCCAGAGTCAGCCTGTATTTTGCTGTGCGCCCACCCCCGAAGGCTCTTCTCTGTGTGTCCTGCTCTGGACCTCTCTCTCCCTCCCTTACTCACACTTGTCTCCCTCTGGGTCTGTCCACTCCACATTGTGGGGGGCCTTTGGAGGGGGAAGATGGGTTTCTAAGACCTGACCCCTGCCCTGAAGCTACTCTCGGTCTTGTCAGGCTCAGGGAGTGGGGCTGCAGGGCCTGGAGGCTGGCGAGGGTGCCCCGAGCAAGGGCTGTCTCTGGGCTAGAAGCCAGTGGGGCTGCTGGGCACTGGGAGGAGGCTTGCTATGCCGGTGGGCCCCTTCCTGGCACCCAGACCCCTGGGTGTTGAAGGCAGAGCCCCTTGAACAGGCAGCCTTCCTGTCGCCCCCCCGGGCGCCTCCGGGCAGCACTGTCTTCCTGAAGCCCCCTGCCAGAGGCCCGTGGGGAGGTGGAGCCCATTCACCCAGGACAGCCCCACCCCTCTGAGGGAGGCAGCAGCAGAGGGGTTTTTCTGGGGCAAAATACGATGTCTTGAGTGCCCGTCCCAGGGTCCTCAGGCCTCTGCTTGGAGCCCCCCAAGCCCAGGGAGTAGGCGGAAGGTGTGTGTGGAGGGGCCTGCCCGCGGCTGCACCTGGATCCGTGCACATCCCTGTCAGGCTTCTTTCTGGCACAGAGCTGACACAAGACACTTAAGGAACAACTCCCTGTAGGGTTTGGCTCACGGAGTTTTCATGCTCCCAGGATGGTGTCCTTGTGCCTGAGATAGCCTGTGCATCTGGGTCCCCGTGGATGTGTGGGTCTGTGTGCGCATGCCTGTGGTTGTTCTGAGTGTGTGTCCGCTGTGTGTAGCTGTGCATGGGCGTGACCTTCAGCAGCCACCCCCAGCTAACCTGGCTGATGCCCACCAGGACCCTCCCCCCGGCACCGTCTGGAGCCCATGGACACCATCTTTGTCAAGAATGTGAAGGATGATGGTCCTGCTCACAGGGCAGGGCTGCACACAGGTGAGCCGTCCCAGTTACCTGTCTCCCTGCAACCTCTGGCCCCATCTCTTCTCCACCCATGGATTAGGGTGGGATTTAGCTCCAGGTGTTGGGGCGACTCCTGTCCCCTCACTGTCATTATATGTGGTACAGGGGTTCTCAGGTGGGACCTCTGACACCCCCGCCCACTCTCATGTGACCCTGCCTTTGTCTCCAGGGGACCGGCTGGTGAAGGTGAACGGGGAGAGCGTCATCGGGAAGACCTACTCCCAGGTCATAGCTCTGATCCAGAACAGGTGAGTGCCCCCTGCCACCCTTCTCCCAGAGCAGCTCACAGCGCGCTTGCCAAGTCCCCGCGCAACCCACCCGCTGGCCACCAGGTTCCATGTTCTCCCTGACCCTGTTGCCCAGCTGGCCTGACGCCCTGCCCTGTCTCCACAGTGATGACACGCTGGAACTCTCCATCATGCCCAAGGACGAGGACATCCTCCAGCTGGTGAGTCCTGCTGCTGTCAGGATGGGGGGCCCTGGGGCCTGGGGCAGGGTACAGCCCTTCTCCTGGGGCAGCAGGGAGTGCAGGGGTAGTGCCAGCCCACATTGCCCAACTGGGGATGCCAGGCCCATCCCGGGGCCGCGACTGGTGGTTGCTTCATTTAGGGCTGCCTTGTGCTGGGCAGGGGGAGGGCTGGCCTTGGCAGGCGGGATTCCTGCCAGGGCATCTGGAAGGAGGGTGGCCCAGCATGGCCTGCCAGACGGGCACATTCTTGTCAGCTCCAATGAGACACCTATTCCCTGCATGCCCTCCCTGACCAGCACAGAGACAGTGTCGCCTGTGCAAGTGCCACACACGCAGCGCACACCCCACTGCTCACATGGCCCACCGCATACCACTTGGCACAGCACACCACAGCTGGACATGCCAGGCACACGGGCGCAGGGCTCAGCCCGCGGTGCCACTCTTAACCCTCACGCGTGTTCCTCAGCACACGCTGTTGCTCAGGACGCACGCGCATTCTCGGGGCATGCCACCCCCAGGCACCCGCCCCTCACACACCCCACAAACCAAAACATGCCAGGCCCCAGCTTCTCGGGCCCCCACAACACGAACCTGGGTTCCCAGTAGGAACCCACCGACCTCCCAGGCGCTGGCCGCCCTCACAGCACGTGTGTCTGCCCACCCGCGCCTGCGCACCAGTGTCCTGGACTCACACGTCGGGAGGTGCAGTCGGAAGCCCCCCACACTGGCACTTGGCTCCTAGAGATCAGCATTTCTCCACTCGCACACATCCCCACTCACTACACACACAAATGCACACACACACTCTGTCTACCTGTGTCCAGCCCCCACCTGACCCAGAGCCCAACGCAGTCCTCCCTGCCTAGGGCCCAGTCCTTGCCAGATGCCAGCCTCCTTGCGCCCAAGGTCACTGCCCCCCATGGGAGGGCTGAGGCCAAGCCCGGGAGGCCCTGGGAGCGCCATGCTGGCTTCTGCCCTGGCTGCGCTCTCGTAATCACTGTAATCACGGGGTCATGCTTGGCACCGCGCCCCTCTGGGGACCTCCACCCCTGACCTCGATTGTCCCCTGGCCCTTCCTGGGGTGGGGGGAGGTAAGCATGGGCACCTAAAGGTGGATGGCTCTCCCCAGTCTCAGGGGCCCTGCCCATATACCTCCCCCCAAGTTGAGGGGAGGTGTGCAAATTAAGGGGGGTGGTGCTGACAGGGTGGGGGTGGGGCTCGACTTTGGACACCCCCCTCCAGAGCAAGGGGGGGCGAGGGGGAGAGTTCCGCCCCTAAGGTTAGGGTGAGCAAGCAGCCTGATGCCAGCATCTGGGGGCCTCTGCTGGCCCTCCCATCCCTGGCCGGCGGGAGGGTGGGGCCCGGCATTCCTGTGGTTGGGAGCCAAGGCTGGAGGCCAATGGGGCCGCGGCAGCTGCTGACGCCACGCCGACGCGGCCCCTCCACACCCATTCTCCCCTCCCTCCTCCTCCCGGCCAGCTAGAGCGGAGCTGGGGCTGAGGGCCGCTGGCTTGGGGAGGGCACGGTGCGGGGGGCCAGAGGCCCGGCCATCACGGCGGGCAGAGGGGGGTGCCTGGGTGGGAGGGAGGGCGGAGGCGGGCGGGGATGCTGCCGCGGCCACCGCCTCCGTGATGCCGGGAGCTGGGGAAGCCAGCAGGATGGCAGGAGGGAGAGGTATGTGGGTGTCTGGCCCGGGAGTGTGGGTCCGAAGGGGCCGAGTGTGCTGGGTGTGGTTCAGCTTGGCCCGGTCATGTGATGTGTGTGCCTGGGACTGGAGGTGTAGTTGTGTGCGTGTCTCATTGTGTCTCACTGTGTGAGTCTCTCTGGGTGTTTTCCTACGTCTCCTTGGGGGGGGGGGTGTTCGGTTTCCCCCTCCTACCCTTTGATGCTTGTCCTGAGCTAGCGCCCCCGGCATCCCATCAAGGGCCAGGCGAGGCCAGGGCCACAAGGCCGTCCCCGGGGACCGCCTCCTTTTTGGCTGGGCCTGGGCGCTGGCCCTGTCACTCCTCAGCAATGCAGCGTCAGCCTCAGCTCCCAGTGCCAAATTCCAGGCCTGGGGAGTTAGAAGGTGGCCCCAGGCCCCTCTGCCAGCCTGGCCTCTCCCAGATGGAGTAGGAGGTAGACATGTTCCTCATCACCCCGGTGGCCCAGGAGCCAGACTGCCGGCTCCCTGTCCAGAAGATGGAAGGCCAAGTGGACTCCCAGCCTCTGCCCGCCCACAGCCCACCCCACCCTGGACACACCCCTTCCCTGTCATCTGCTACCCTGACTGGTCTCTGGTGAGGTTTCCCAGCTCTGCCACGGGGCTGCGGGCTTCTCTGGACATAAAGAAGCAGGGAGGTGGCTGAGGCCAAGATGGGGGGAGCACCCTAGAAGTCAGATGTCCGAGTGTTTGTGACTAAAGCTGTCCTGGCCATAAGTCTTCCTCGAGCGTGCGTGTGTGGGTGGCTGTGCGTGAGGGTGAGTGTGTCTCCAGGCCTCCGAGTTTCCCTTTGTCCTCCCTGGCTCTTTGGAGCACACACCCCCCCACTCCGGCCCTCTCCACCCTGCCGGGGACCCCCAGCCCCCCGCCCTTCCCTGAGGTGCTGATCCCCCGGCGTTCCCGCACGGCTCACTGCCTCTGTCCCCCGCCAGGCCTACTCCCAGGACGCCTACCTGAAGGGGAACGAGCCGTATTCTGGAGAAGCCCGGAGCATCCCAGAGCCGCCCCCAATCTGCTACCCTCGCAAGACCTACGCCCCGCCCGCCCGGGTCTCCGCCTGGGCCACTATGGTGCCTGAGCCCCTCTCAGCACTGCCCAGCGACCCCCGCAGCCCTGCTGCCTGGAGCGACCCGGGCTCCGGGGCCCCGACCGCCACCCGCCGCAGTCTGGACAGCTCTTCCTCGGGGATGAGCCAGCCCCGCCCCAGCCCTGGTGCCTTCCCCCGGCTCCCCTCGGAGCCCAGGACGCCCCGTGCCTTCCCAGAGCCTGGCAGCCGGGTGCCCCCCAGCAGACTGGAGTGTCAGCAGGCCTTGTCCCACTGGCTGTCGAACCAGGTCCCCCGCAGGGCGGGGGAGAGGCGGTGCCCCGTGATGCCGCCCCGGGCCCGCAGTGCCTCCCAGGACCGCTTGGAGGACGTGACTGCCCCCCGCCCGTGGCCCTGCTCCACCTCTCAGGGTGCCTTGAGCCAGCTGGGCCAGGAGGGCTGGCACCGAGCTCGCTCGGACGACTACCTGAGCCGGGCCACCCGCTCAGCTGAGGCACTGGGACCCGGGGCTCTGGCGTCACCCCGCTTCGAGCGCTGCGGTTGGGCTTCCCAGCACCCGTCTGCCCGCGCCTCTGCCTGCCCGCCCAGGGACCTGCCCAGGGACCTGCCCGGGCCGCAGGCCGCCCCCCAGCCTGGCCTGCAGGGCCTGGGTGACATCGGCTACATTGGGTACAGGAGCTACAGCCCATCGTTCCAGCGCCGGACTGGCCTTCTGCACGCACTCTCCTTCCGGGACTCGCCCTTCGGGGGGCTGCCCACCTTCAGCCTGGCCCAGCCTTCGGCGCCATTTCCCCCAGAGGCCTCGGAGCCACCCAGGGCTGTCCGACCAGAACCCAGCACCCGGGCCCTGGAGCCTCCCCCTGAGGATCGCCGTGAAGAGGTGGTCCTGAGGCAGAAGCCGCCGACTGGCCGCAAGGTCCAACTGCCCCCTGCGAGACAGGTGAACCTTGGATTTGGTGCCGAGTCCCCAGAGCCAGAGGCCAGCGGGCGAGGGGATCGCCTGGGCAGGAAGGTGGCTCCTCTGGCCACGACTGAAGACTCTCTGGCCTCCATCCCCTTCATCGGTGAGTGACGGTGCGGGTGGTGTCGGGGACTTTGTGCCTGTTGTACCACGCACCTCTCTACCGTGGGCAAAACTCCGGGGCGTGCTGGCAAGGTTAGCCTGTTTCTCGGTGCGTCCATCTGCCAGTCTACCCATCTGTCCATTCATTCTTCTGTGGTCTCTGCCGTCCCCCCTCCCACTCCCACTCCAGTCGTCTTTTCTCCCTCCCTTCTCCCTCCTTCCACCCTTCCGCGCCTCCTGCCATTCTTCCTTTATTCTCTCTCCTTTGTTCCTTCCATCCTTTCTCTATGCCTCCATCATTCCAACAAATCTTTGTGTCAGGCACTGTGCTGGGCCCCTGCTTCCCTGGGGTCAGGTCCAACCAGGTCAGGGAGCTGATCAGATAGGAACAACCTGCAGGACGGGTGTGGCGGGAGCGAAGGGAGACTCGCAGGTCGCCCGGCTCAGAGCCCGGCGACCAGAGGAGACTCCTGGAGGGAGGACATGGATGAGAAGGAGTTAGCAGAGTACCTAGGGACAGAAAAAGAGGCAAATGCACTTCAGGGTTATTGGAAGGGTCAGAGGGGCCTTGTCAGTCTCCCGGGAATTTGGACTTGAGCCCGAAAGCTGAGGGAATGCTGAAGACCTGCCGCCTTTGGAGCAGGTGTTGGGCAAGTGGGGCGGTGCCAGGTGGACAGCCTCACCTCCATATTGGGAATGAGAGGGGCAGGGGCAGGAAAAGGTTTAGGGTTTGTTAGACCTGAGGTACCCGTGAGGGAGCAGGATCACTGGGCTGGGGTCCAGGGGCTTGGAAGAAATACAGCCATGTGAGGTCATGGGACTGGGAGCCAGAGCCAAGAGGTGGTAACTGGAGCTGAGTGCTGAGCTCGCCCCGGGCGGCTATGGCGGAGAGGGAGGAGAGGGCTGGGCCCGGAGAGGAGACACAGCCCTGGGCACCCCACCCAGGCCTCAGTCTGAGGGCAGACACCGCCCCTTGTCTTAGCAAGCTCCCAGTCTGAGGGGGAGTAGTCTTTAGTTTCAGAGCATCCACCCTCAACTGAGAGCACCCCCTCTCTCAACTGATAGAGATGGTCCTTATCCTCAAGAGGCTGCGCGTCTGGGGGCTCCCTGCTGGCACAAGGGGTTTAGTTGCAGCACTGTGAAGCTGTCCGCAGCCACTTGCAGCACGAGTTTGATCCCCGGCCAGGGAGCCGACCCACATGGCGCAGCAGACCTCTCCTGACCTGCCCGCTGCGCCCCTCTGCAGTGGATTTCAGTCCAATCTGCCTGTTCTGCTCCCCGCTCCCTCTCTGGTGTATCCTCTCCCTGCACCTCGGGTCTGTACCCCAGTTCTTGTATGCATCACTAAAAAAAGAGGCTGCCAGCCTGGTGGGAAAGACACTTGCCTGCGGGAACCAAAGTCTGAGGGGGAGACAGCCCCTGTGCTCAGGACCAGGGCTAAGGAGGTGACTTGGTGTGATGGGGGCAGGCATTGAGCCTCCATGCCCACAGCTGGTGGGTTGGTGACCCCTGGCAGAGGGCATGTGGTCTGAGGGCTTGAGGAGCCTTGGGGATGCTGTCTGGGTCTGGGGATGAGGGGCCCTGGGGCTGGCAAGCCGGGCTGGGGGCAGCAGGTTCAGCTCTCTGCCACCTCCGCCCACCACTCCCTCCGCTTGTGCAGATGAACCCACCAGCCCCAGCATTGACCTCCAAGCCAAGCACGTCCCCGCCTCCGCTGTGGTCTCCAGTGCCATGAACTCGGCGCCCGTCCTGGGCACCAGCCCGTCCTCCCCAACCTTCACCTTTGCGCTTGGCCGCCATTATTCCCAGGACTGCAGTGAGTGCTCCCGGCACCCTCGCCCTCCCTCCTCCCCGCTGCCTGGTCCCCGGGGGTCTCTTGGGGTCTGCTGCTTGACGCGTGGTTTCTGCTCTTCCTGGGGACAGTCACCTCCTGGCCCTGCCCAGATTGAGGGCTCTGGGGAACCCCTGACCTGCTGCCTCACTGACCCCGGTGCCCTCACTGGGTGGCTTTGCAGGCAGCATCAAGGCCGGCCGCCGCTCCTCCTACCTGCTGGCCATCACCACGGAACGCTCCAAGTCCTGCGATGACGGACTCAACACCTTCCGGGACGAGGGCAGGGCTCTGCGGTGAGGCCTTGTCTGGGGCACGCACCGCCCCCTGGGCTGGTGCTCTCGGGACCTCCTGGCAGGACTCTGCCCACTGGGCAGTGTGCTTCCCCTTGGGGAGGCCTCTGAGCCTGGGAGTGAGGGGGGTGGAGGGTGGGGGTCAGGTCCAGCGCTGCCCCCCCCCAATCTCACCCTCGCTCCTGACCCCCAGGCGCCTGCCCAACCGAGTCCCCAGCCTGCGGATGCTGCGCAGCTTCTTCACCGACGGGGTGAGTGTCAGGCGTGCGGGGGCGCGATGGCTTCTGTGGTGTTTTTTCCGGGCGTCGGGCCCCATCCCCCGTGGCCACCTGATCCACTTTTTAACTTCCCTTGGGCATTTTAGGCCTTCCCTGAAATTTCAGCCTTCACCCCTGACAGTGCTTCCTCTTGCCACTTTACACATTCCTCCTCGGCCCCCCGGCCTGTCCCCCGTGCTGGATTGCGAGGGCCAGGAGGGCAGGGCTTTCACCTGCTTGGTTCACTGTCTGGCCCCAGTGGGTGCCGAGAAAGTGCCCAGTCTCAGCACTCTCGTGGCATCTTCAGGAGAAAAGAGGCGCGTTGGAAAGCAGGGCGCACAGGGTGGAGGGTGATGGGAAGGAGAGGGTGTCGGACCTGGGGAGTCATAGACAGTTCTGAGATGGCCTTAACTCTTCCTGACTGGGCACGAGCTGGAAGAGCCCTCTCCATCTCTGACCTCCCAGATCTCTGGCTCACTTAAGGCCTGGATGTCTTTGTCACCTGGCTCATTCCTTATCACTTCCTCTGCTTACTTAACTCTCCTTTGACCTGATACCACTCCTGCTGGAGTCCTGTTGACACTGTCGCTTCCTCTGTTTAACTCCTTGTGGACATGACTACCTGTTCCACGAACTCAGTCCTGTTGACATTCCCACTTCCCCTGTTTATTTAACTCCATGTTGACACCATTTAACTCCATGTTTCCTTAATTCCTTCAAGTCTATAAAGTGGAGAGAGGCTCCAGATTGGCTTTTCTAGCATGCTGAGACGTGTGGGCAGCAGGTCACTGCCTTTCCTCCCTTCTGGCTTCCCAATCACAGACGTCTCGTGACCGCGACACGAGGTTCAGAGAGGGCCAGCAAGGCGCATGAGCCACACAGCAGGGTGGAGGATAGCCCAGGCGCACGCTGGGCCCGCGTGGCAGCAAGGGGCCCATGGGGCTCCTGAGGTGCTGGCTCTATGGCAGCCACCCTAAGTGTCCCCGTGTTGTCTCGCTGCAGTCCCTGGATAGCTGGGGCACCTCTGAAGATGCAGACGCCCCTTCTAAGCGACACTCGACCTCTGACCTGTCAGATGCGACCTTCAGTGATATCAGGAGAGAAGGCTGGTTGTATTATAAGCAGGTCCTCACCAAGAAGGGGAAGGTAAGATGGCCGGCGGACTGAGGTGGAGGTGGATGGAAGCCGGCTCCGGTGGAACACTGGCCGCTCCTGTACCCGCTCTGCAGCCTCTGGAGCCGCAGAGCCAGCTGGGGCTTTGGCATGAAGGGGAGAGACTGGATGCAAGGAAGAACTGCCTGGGGCACCTGAAGAATTCAAGGGAAAGAGGTTAACCTGGGGGAGGGGTGTCTTTTTTTTTTTTTTAATTTATTTATTTCTGCATACAGAATACAGAACTGGGGTACAGGCCAGAGGCTCAGGGGCGGTGAGAGGCTTCACCAGAGACAGAGTGGGGAGCAGATCAGGCAGATCGACGAAGTACACTGCTGAGGGGAGCAGCGGGCGGGTCAGGAGAGGTCTGCCACGCCATGTGGTCACCTCCGGGGCAGGCGGGAATCGAACTCGTGCGGAAGTGGCTTTAGCTTCTCAGTGCAGCGCTTTAACCCGCTGCGCCACCAGGGAGGGCCAGGGGTGTCTTTACTGTGGAGTGAAGCTCATCAAGTTGTGCTTGGAGCTCTGATAACAGAACCACTGTGATCCCTGGTTGGCAGGTGACCGACCCCCAAATGACCACTGAGACTCACAGCCAGTGAGGCAGCATGGCCAGGGCAATTCTCTTAGGGGACCTGAGGCCCACCTGGCAAGCGCAAGCCAGCCTTTTCAGGGCCTTGCAGAGCCAGCAAGGCTTCTGGCCTCTGCCTAAGGGCACCTGGAAGGCCCTGTGGCTGGCCTCTTCATGTGGCTTTCCGGGAGTGAACTAGAGGGGTCCCTACTGGAGGCAAGAAGACCAGGTAAGAGCCAGCTCAGAGGTGGTGAGAAATGAAGGCAGTGGGAGCAGGCAGGTGGGGAGACGAGCAGGATCCGAAGGGGAAGGGGGCGGGCTGTGGCCCGAGGGCGAGGAGGCCCCTCTGCTGTCCCTCCAGGCAGCCAGGCTGAGCAGGCTGTGCCATCCACGCAGGCTAGGCCAGGCTCTTGGCTGCGCCACCTTTAGTTGCTGGGGGAGCAGGTGACTCACCTGCCCATGACTCAGTTTCCTCTTCTGTAAATGAAGCTAATAACAGGTCTTCCTTAGCGCCCATGCCTGTTGTGAGGACTGAGAGATGGTCTGAGTGAAGGCTTTGCCCAGCACCTGACAAGGGGGTTCCACTCTTCTGCTTACTGCTGCTATTGGAATCCCCCTTCCTTCTAGTGGTCTTGCGCCTAGAAAGAATGTAACTTTGCCATCAGGTAGACTTGAAGGTGCTGCCTAGTGACTTTCAAACTTCAAGCTTTGGGCAACCGCTTTATCTCTGCGCCTCACTGTTCTGATCTGTGAGATGCGGACAACCCAGTTCTCCTGCCAGGGCCAGGGCGAGGGTGAGGTGAGGTGCGCGCTCCAGGCGGGGCCAGCAATGTCCTGCCTCCTCCCTGTGCTGGAAGAACAGGGACCCGCCTGCTCTGCTTCGAGATTCTGGGCTGAGATTCTGGGTAGTGCCAGTCCTGCCTGCCCTGTTCCCATGAGCAGAGTAACCATGTTGCATAACAGCTATGGGGCAGGACTCTGCCACGGGGAGTTGGGGGCGCCGCATGTGGCGGGGGAGCCTGAGGCTGGGGGCCAAGGAAGAGTGGGAGCTGAGGGGCGCCTGCCCCGCACGCCGGGCCTCTCAGTGGGGGCAAGCCCAGGAGGAAGGGTTGCCACTGCTGTTGTCCGGGTGAGCGAGGACGGGACCTGGGACCTGGTCGTGGTGTGGGGCCAAGGGAGGACAACTTAGAGAGAGATTCAGGGGAAGGAAGGTCTGGGCTGGGAGGTGAGCGCACACTGGAAGCGGGGTCACGGGTTCCCAGCTTGGTCTGCAAGGGGGTGGGAGATGGGCCCCCTTCGGAGCCTCCCGACACTGGAAGAGGAGGTTTGGGCAAAGAGAGCCAGGTGTGGACAAACTCTTCCTGCCCAAGCTCTGAGCCCCTGGGAGGCCCCGGCGAGACCTGCAGACCCCTGGCACCCAGGGGCCTGTCTCCCAGCCCTCGGGACCTCTGCAGCCCAGCCGGAGAGCTTCCTCCACAGGAGGATGAGCTGGTCGCTCCTGCTCACTGGCCACTCCTGTGGGAAAAAACCTGATTCCACTTGCCCCTCAGTGCTGCGGTCTGGGACTCAGGAGAGGGGTCAGGCCCCTCCAGGCCTTGGTCTGTCCATCGTCCTGAGTGCCCGCCTCGCTATCAGCAGGGACGCTGCTGCCACGGTGGCATGGTCTCCTAGCTGGCTCGTCTCAGAGGGGCACCCGGGCCACCTCTCTCAGATGGTAACGCCCCTACGGGGCCCTGCTGTCTCCTGCTCTGGATGTCCCTCCCTGCCCAGCAGGTCTGGGGTGCTGCTGGCCCCTGGCTCTCCTCATCTGGCTCGTGCTGAGGGCGGGGCTCACGCTGGGTGTGGAGCCGGGAGCCTTCCGATGGGGCAATGGAGCACTGGCCTCAGGTGCCCGGACTTCTAGTCACCTACTCAGTCACGGGCACTTCCTCCGCCTGTGAGGCCTGAGCTTTGGATGTGAGAGGACAGACAGGCCCCCTCCTTCCCTGCAGGAGCTTACCGTTTTCTGGAGAGCTACGGCCAGCGCAAGCTGACATTCAGCGAGCACTTGGGGAGAGGAACAGGGTGTTGGCTGTCTACCAGTAGAAAGGAATTGGGAGCGCGTTTAAGGAAAAAAATAGAATGGCCTCACTGAGGAGGTGATGCAGGTGACGTTTGAAGAAGGAGGAGGTGAGAGAAGGCGCTCTGGGCGCAGGGCAGCAGTGAAAGGCCCCGAGGAAGGTGGGCTTGCCCGTGCCCTCAAAGGCCTGCGGGCGACCAGTGAGGAAGGAGGAGAGGACGAGACGGGCTGGAGAGAGGCAGGAGCCCGGTGGCGGAAGACCCTGGACTTGGTCCCCAGGGCAGTGGGAGCCCCGGGAGGGTGCGGAGGGGCGAGGGCTGGCCCCAGTGACGCCCCTGAGGGGTGGTTGCAGTTGCTGGGTGCAGGAGGCAAGGAGATGGGAAGGTTTGTGCAGTTGTCCAGGCGAGAAGTGCTGGTGGGTGGACAAGGGTGGGGCGGGAGGGACTGAGACGGGTGACACTTAGGAAGCAGAACAGCTGTGACTTCCTGATGGGTTGAATGTCAAGGGTGGAGGAAAAGGGAGGCGTCGGCCACCGACTCCCAGGTTTCTGAGCAACTGTCAGATTTACTGCTGGAAAAGATGGGGGTGGGGACCGGAGAGCAGGCTTGATGGTGAAAATCAAGTACCCGGGTGAGCAGGCAGCCTGTGAAGTGCCCGGGGCGCGCAAGGAGACGCCGAGCAGGCATTGGGAGGGACAGGCCCGGATTGGGAAGGGCCGGGCCAGGGACGCTGCTGGGAATCGCCATCAGCACATGGACAGGACCGGGGCCCCAGGCGTGGGTGATGTCCCGAGGGAGGTCGCAGCGGGAGAGGGGTCCGCACTGAGCCCTGGCTCCAGCTCCTTCGGGGCACAGGCCAACCTCAGCTCTGTGGGTGTGTGAGGGCGGATGAGTCTGTTGTGGGGGCTGCCCTGGCCACCGAGGGGCTAGCAGTGCTCGACCTCTGGCCACCAGATGTCAAAGCACTTCCTCCCGTACGAAAACTGAAATAATTTCCAGACAAATGTCTCTGGGGGTGAGCTGTTCCAGAGGAGATGGTGTGGACACTGTCCAGGAGGGCGTCCAGCGGAGGGACCGGGAAAGGAGCTGGAGGGGGAGGAGGTAAACAGGGGCCTTGGAGTCCCTGATGCGATGCGCAGAGAGGGTTTGGAGAGGGAAGGGCCCCTCAGATCCTCTGGAGGTCCAGGAGGGGTCAGGGAGCAGCCCCTGGCTTCAGCAACTTGGCGGCCTGGGTGACCTTGAGAGCCACTTCCGGTCAAGGGTGATGCTGAGTGGAGAGTTGAGGGGGAGCAAAGAAGTGGGGAGAGCAGGGGGAAACTCTTGGCCAGCTTTGCGGGTGAAAGGGTGCAGTGTGAGGGCCCGGCAGGGGCTTTCCGAGGGTCTTTTGTAAGGTGGGCGGTGCTGGGGGACTCGATTGCCCTCCTAGCTGGTCTCCGAGCGAGCGAGGAGCGCCGCCAGGGCCGAAGAGTCGGGGTGCTGACGAGTGGGGGTGCTGACGTGGAGGCGTGACGTGGAGGCGTGGGAGCGGCGGCGGCCTCCCAGGGCGAGCTCGGAGGGTGCGCGCGATGGGTGGGGGCCGCGAGGCTGCGGCAGGGCCTCTGCGGGCGGCGGCCTCCGCCAGGCCAGTGTCTGCAGCTCGACAGCCCCGGCCTGGGGCGGCGCAGCCGGGCGCTCACACCCCCCGTCTCTCCCTCTCCGTGTCTCCCTGCAGAAAGCGGGCGGCGGCCTGCGCCAGTGGAAGCGGGTGTACGCCGCGCTGCGGGCGCGCTCGCTCTCCCTGAGCAAGGAGCGGCGGGAGCCCGGGCCGGCGGCGGCGGGGGCGGCGGCGGCCGTCGCAGGTGAGGACGAGGCGGCGCCCGTCTGCATCGGCTCCTGCCTGGTGGACATCTCCTACAGCGAGACCAAGAGGAGGCACGTGTTCCGGCTGACCACCGCTGACTTCTGTGAATATCTCTTTCAGGCTGAGGACCGGGATGACATGCTGGGCTGGATCAGAGCGATCCGGGAGAACAGCAGGGCCGAGGGCGAGGTGAGGGCGGGCCCGGCCCGAGGAGCCAGCGGCCAGAGCAGACCCGAGCCCGCCCCGCAGTGACCCTCCCTGCCCCTCTGAGCCTCAGCGTCCTCCGCACCCAGGGCCCCGGGGCGCCTCCGGGGTGGTGCTAAGGGCCGGTGCACCCCAGTGGCTGCGGAGCGCCGGTGTGCCCGGCCGGCAGTGGCAGCAGGGACTCGAGGGTCAGCAGTCGTCATTGCTGTGACTGCGTGACGGCCGTTGGCGCAGAGGTCGGCTCCGGCGGCCTCGCCGGCGTCTCGCTCGAGGGGTGGGAGGCCGGGCCTCCTGGGGACCAGCCCCGAGCGTGGCCCTCGTGCCAGAGCCGCCCTGACCCTCCGACAGGGCTGGCCTGTCCGCAGGGGCACGAACATGTTGACCTTGGTTGCTGGCCAGGAGGCTTGGCCTTTGGCAGCAGGCGGCAGGGGCTGGGCCAGGCCTTGGCACGGGCGTGGGAGGATTGTCAGTGGCGCGCCCTCTGGCAGCGGTGGCACCGCCCTGCGCTGGAGCCCGCATCTCTGCGGTGCTGCTGACGCCAAGCTGTGGGGGTCCCAGGCGTGGGGGCTGGTCTGCCAAGAGTTCAGAGGGCCGGCCGGCCAGGCCCATGCCTGCTCCGGCGTGGGGAGAGGGGTGCATCGCCTCCGGGCCACAGCCGCTCTGGCTGAGAACCCCGTCTCTTGCTGACCAGGCACTGGCCTCCAGGGTGTTGTCTTTCCTGGTGATGGGAAGGACGTGCCTGCAATCAGGGGCCCCTGCTCTGAGAGGCCTGGGTGTGCCAGTACAGAATGGCCGGGGTGGTGGGGGGGTCCCAAGTCACCTCCATCATTGCAGTCGCTGTGCACTGCCAGGACTGTGCTGAGAGCTCTGTGCATTATTCTGCACCCCAACCCTGAGGTTGCCATGTTATCTCCCCAAGTTACTTCTGAGGAGACTGAGGCTCAGAGAGGCTAAGTGGATTACCCAAGGTCACACAGCTGGTGAGGGGGGCTCAGGAGTCCAGCTCTGGTCTTTCTCGCTCCAGGGTTTGTGCCCTCCAGCTGGAGGAGAGGGGAGGCAGGGCGGAAGCTGGGGTGAGCCTGTGCAGGTGGGCTGTGATCACTGACCGGTCTGCTCTCTCTTCTTCTCCTGCTCTAGGACCCCGGCTGTGCCAACCAAGCTCTGATCAGCAAGAAGCTTAATGATTATCGCAAAGTGAGGTGAGGCTGGGTCCTCATGGAACAGTCCTGGCCATGTGGGGTGGGACACTGCAGGCAGAGGCCTCCGTGGGGTCATCCTCTGCTGGGGGCAGGAGGGCCGGCAGGGGCCCTGAGGCCTTCGGTCCCTGGAAGAGCATGAAGGGACGGCTTCGGGGGTACAGGGGTGCTTGAAAATGGTGTGTGGGTAGGGGCACGCTGGGTCTCATCAGATGGTGACCGCTCTCTTCCCCTGTTTTTATGCAGCCATAGCTCTGGGGCCAAAGCCGATTCTTCCCCCAAAGGCTCTCGTGGCCTAGGGGGCCTCAAGTCTGAGTTCCTCAAGCAGAGTGCAGCCCGTGGCCTCAGGACGCAGGACCAGCCCGCAGGGAGCAAGGGTAGGGAAATGGCTGCTGCGGAGTGACTCTGGAGCAGGTGCACACGCATGTGCGCATGCCTGGCCTGTGTGGTGGGCGTGACACACGTCAGCCCTGTGGGTCTCTGCACAGGCGGGGAGGGCGTGTGCCTGTGAGTGTGAGCAGGATTACCCTGGCATGTCTGTCCGTAAGGTGGCCTGGGGGCGTGGGCCGCCCTCGGGGTCCCGGGCCTGGGTCCCCTCCAGGACAGGCCTGCTGTGTCGTCCTCCCGTCCCTGGGGAGGCCCATCCTTCCAGGAGCAGCCTTTTCCATCTTCACACACTTTTGGCTCTTAGAAATTCTTCCCTTTGGTTGCCAGCAGTGAGCCTGGAGGCCACGTCCAAGTCCTTGCGTGACGGAGGCTTCTCTCCCGAGATAAACACATGCGTCCCATCAGCCTTCTCTCTGGGGATGTCAGTTCTCATCAGCCCTCGGCACCCCGGTTGCCTCTCTGATGGAGCCCCCATATATCCAGACATGTGCGAGCAGGGTGTGGGTGTGTGTGACCAAGGGGGGCTGCTGCCTCCCCTCCTCCCAGGCCCAGCTCATTCTGACTCTGTCGGCTCCCCCACCCCAGATGACAGTGCTTCCACCTCCAGAACTCCCTGGGGCATCAACATCATCAAGAAGAACAAGAAGGCCACCCCGAGGGCGTTTGGGGTCCGGCTGGAGGAGTGCCAGCCAGCCACAGAGAACCAGGTGGGTCCCCACCATAGTCCAGAGCAAGCAGGGAGGCCGGTGGCCAAGGCACAGAGGGTCAGAGAAGCAAGGGGTTTGGGAACCAGCCCCCACCTTGTCTGACAGCCCAGCTGAGAGGGTCTCAGGCCTGTGTCTGCCGAGGGGCTCAGAGCTGAGCCTGAGCCCAGCATTGCTGCCCCCCACCGGCGCTCCTTCTCAGACCCTGGCAGGCTTTGGTGTGACTCCAGTCCCCGACCTGGGGCGGCCGAGGCCTTTGCCCCCCCCCCCATGGGGCTCCTGGGGGCAGCGGTGGCTCTTCAGCCCACTTGCTGGCCCTCTGCTGGGGACGTTGCCCTGGCCTCCCTGACGTGCCTGCCGTGTGTCCCCAGCGGGTCCCCTTGATCGTGGCTGCCTGCTGCCGCATCGTGGAGGCGCGGGGCCTGGAGTCCACGGGCATTTACCGGGTGCCAGGCAACAACGCGGTGGTGTCCAGTCTGCAGGAGCAGCTCAACCGGGGGCCCGGGGACATCAACCTGCAGGATGAGGTGGGTCCCACGGGGGGGCAATGGAGGGGAGGCTGAGGTGGCATGGGGTGCTCCGCCTGTGTCGTGTGTCACAGCCTTCATCGTGCCTGGCAACGTGCCCAGCGCCGGCCCGGGGCCCCAAGATGGGCAGGACAGGACCTGCCCCGCAGGCCAGCTCCAGGCGGGGCATCCGCGGAGACCTGGAAGGCAGAGGCCGCCCGGCCCGGGGCCCCGAAGCCGAGGCGAGAAGGCAGCAGCTTGGGGCCTTGCGGGGAGCAGTCATTCCAGGCGGAGGGGGCCGCTGGGGCAAGACACAGACGCCCGAGTTTGCCAGCGACAAGGCGTCGTCTCTGTGAAGGGCCAGGCAGTAAATATTTAGGCTTTGGTTACATGTAGCTTCTGCTGCCTCTATCCCCGCCCCTCCCTTCACTTCCTCCTCCTCCTTTTTCTTCACAACCTTTAAATATGTAAAGACCAATCTCGGCTCAAAGGCCACATGAACACAGGCTGCGGGCTCGCGTTGCCCACTCCAGGCGAGTGGCTTCCGGAGCGGTTTGCCTCGGGGAAGAAGCAGCTGACCTGGGAGACAGAGGCTCGGCAAGGCCACCTCACTTGGGAGCTCAGAGCAGGGCCTGTGGTCCTTGACCCTGGGGGTCCCTGAGGTGCTGAAGGCAGGCAAGCCAGGTGCCCCAGCCTTGTCTGCACGAGAGCAGCCCCGCCTAGCTCTTTCCGCCCTGCTGGGCTTTCACGCGTGATTCTGTTCGATGAAAGGGGCTCTGCTGGCAAGAGGTTCCGGGAAGGGCCCTGTGGACCGTGGCGTTCCACGGCGGCATGTCGTGAAGCCTGTGGACACACGAGCCAGCTCGTTTGACACACGAACCAGGCTTCCCACCCCGGGAAAACGGGGAGATTAGGTGGCCCAGACACGAGAGAGGGCGGGTCTGCCATGGCCACACGGAGTGAAGGGGCTGGGAGAAGGTGCTGAGGGCTAGAGCCCGGTGGCCTTGAGCACTGGACTCTGAAGGAAAAGAACAGGAGGGGTAGGAGGGTTGTCCAGGCAGGTGATGTGGCATTTCCCAAAATCCCAGACGAAGATCTAAACGTGGGGACAGAGAACGGACCCCCACCTTGGGCTAGCCGCAGGAGGGGAGCCCTGGCCGTGGACGGAGCTGGCCTGATGCAGCGGAAGGCTTCAAGAGCTCAGCAGTTGGGGGCCCTAAAGGAGAGTGGGGCTTGAGGAGGGTCACCTTCAGGACATCGTGAGGGAGGCCCTGCGCGGGGGTCCAGGGAGAAGGGGCACACTGGAAGTGCGGGGTCAGGAGGGTGCAGTGGTCCCAAGGAAGCCGGAGAAGGGGGCTGCATGGCTGCGCGGAGTCAGAGTCTGAGCCGGGCTGCCCTTGGCAGAAACTGGGGAGTAGGTCAGTGAGGCAAGATGCATCAGATAGTGGCCCCACTGGATTTGGGGTGATGTTAAGCCTCCCACATGGGTGTGATGGTGTAATCAGGCACTGAATTGAGAGTGGACTGGAGAGTGGGCGTGGGGTCAGGCTGGGGCATGGAGCTGAGACGGGAGTGGGGCTGCTGTCTGGGGAGAGCAAGGGGCATGTCCTGGGGGTGGAGTGGTCAGGAGAGAAGGGCAAGGAGAGAGCAGGAAGGCAGTTATTTGCACAGAGGTGGTGTCAAGGCAGCTGGGAGGTGAGAAAGGCCCACAACCCGGGTTTGGGATAGGCTGAGCAGACGAGGCGGTGCAGGGTAGGGTGGGGATGTGCCCGGCCTCACCTGGAGTCGGGGCGTGCGTAGGGTGTGGTTTTGTCTCAGCCCTGCCATTGGTCAGGTGTGCTGGAAGTGTGTGCCAGTGAACCTTAACGCCTGTCAAGCCTCTGGGGAGGGCATGTTTGGGGGATGCCCTGGCATTAAGCAGTGGGCCCCTTGTACTGAGCCTGTATATTGTGGGCTCCGGAATCCTAGTGGTGGGTGCTGAGTTGCTTCCCGGGCCTGAGTTGTTCTGGGCATTTCCTAGCAAGTGTCCTGGACTTTGGGCAGGGTGGTGGCGCCCCCTGGTGGACACAACGGAGAATGCCACTCTGTATTTGACACCCATTTACATAGACCAGTTTCTCACCCTTGGCATTTGGGGCAGAATGATTCTTTACTGTGGGAGGTTGTCCTGTGCCCTGGAGGAGGGTGGCGACACCTGGTCTCTATCTGCTAGATGCCAGTTCCCCTCTGCCCCCACACCTGTGAAAACCAAAGGGACTCCAGTCATTGCTAAATGGCCCTGGGGCAGGACGGGACCCCGGGTGAGAACTATTGATTCAGACCATTTAAGTGCCAAGCTAACAGCTAGGCAGGTGAGAAGAACACTGGGGGAGGGGTGAGGGTGGAGGCAGACAGGATCCCGCCCCCCAGGGAGAGAGGCAGGCACCCAGAAACAAAGGCCTGTGGCGATGACAGGGTGATGACAGGTGGGCTGTGAAGGAGCCGCCAGACCTGAGACAGGTGACAGCAGTGTGGCTGCTTTCTGTGCGGTGGGGGAGACCTCTCCAGGGATGTTTAGACTGGAAGAGAGGACAGTCACATGAAGGGGTGGGGGGCCCAAGCGGAGAATGGTCAAGTGCAGAGGGCCTGAGTCAGGAAGGCGCCAGTGAGAAGCTGCTATGTCATGGCTGCTTAGGGGGTGTGGGGGAAGAAAAGGAGTCTTGGCCTGAGAATGACCTTCACTACATGGGCATCACTGGGAGGCAGGAACTTCGACCAACCTGGAGGCTGGGCTCTCTCTCCACTGACCCCCCCAGTTCCCGCTCAGGCGTAGCAACATAAGTGCCCGGTGCAAATGTTGGCGCCCAGCAGGCTGACTGGAGCAGGGAGGGGCCATGTGGTCAGGGGCGAGGGTGTGCTGAGGGCATCCCAGGAAGGGCACCTGGGCTGGGCAGGCTGCCCTGGGCCCGAGGGAGGGTCTGGGCCCCTGGGGGTCCCTATCCTGAGGCCTGTACTCCCTCCCCAGCGCTGGCAAGACCTCAACGTGATCAGCAGCCTGCTCAAGTCCTTCTTCCGAAAGCTGCCCGAGCCTCTTTTCACGGATGGTGAGTAGGGGTGGACGTGGGGGTGCGGGGAGGAGGGGCTCCTGTCTTTGATGCACCCTCAGATCACGTAGAATTTGGTTTATCAATTTTACTTTTTTTTCCCATGTTAATACAAAAGAAACCCACGCATATAAAAAAACCTGGTACAGAAATGAATCCGGTAAACACACAAGTTTCTCCCACTCTTGTCCCCGAGGTCATACTGACACTTTCTGAGTATTTACTGTATGCCGAGCGCCACACCTTACAATGACTCCCCCAGCTAGGTACGAATATCAGTGAGGACCTACAGATGAGGAAGCTGAGGTCCAAAGCAGTTCAGTGACTTCCCCCAAGGTCACACAGGTGATAGTCTGAGCCCAGTCTTGATTATTTGCTAAGCTGCTTATTAACAATCCGATGTTTCCTCCTGGACCCTCTTATTTGCAGAGTAAAGACACCCCAGGAACACTCCAGGCGTGGAGCCTGGAGAGTCCAACGGTTTGTCCACAAATGTTCAGCATCTGGCTCTCTAGGGGAAAAGCCTCGATCTGTAGCATCTCCCCATTTCCAAAAGATTCCCACCGGGCCTTACTTCAGGCCACCGACCAGCCGTCACCGGTGGTGTCGGGAAGAGCCGTGCTCAGTGGCCTCCCGGCCGGTGGGAGGCTCGGGGCCAGCCCTCTCTCTCGGCGCTCTGAGCCGAAGCGGGCTGGTCACTCAGAGGCGCTTGCTCTCCTGGCTCCCCTGGGGGTGGATACTGAGGCTGCATTCATGTTTTTGCTGGTAACAGTAAAGCGGCGTGGGGCCGGCGGGCACTCTCCAAGGCCAGTGTCGTGCTGCGCCGAGTTCACGCCCCACCCACACCCCGCAGCCCTGGATGCTGTTACGGTTTTGCACTTTTCTAATCAGGCCAGGGCGGTGGGCTCCCGTGTGGCTTTCGTTTGTGCCCTCACCGCTGGGACCGGCTGTCCCTTCACTGCTGTGGGCTCTGCCGGGCCCTGCCGCCGCCAGGTCCCACCAGGCGGTTTTCTGCTGGGTGGTCGGTTTCTTCTCAGACCTCGTTTGCTCGAGCGCCGGTCCCTCACAGGTGCAGCCCCTGTGTTAGTGTTTGCAGATATTTGCTGCTGGCCTGGCTTTTGCCTTCGACCTTTTCAGGTAGAAATGGAAACGCTGACTTAACTTGTAGTCAGAGCTCTTACTGTGGCTTTAATGGACTCGGCACCCCGCGCAGACAATGGCCTCATGATTTAAAAGCATGTTCTCCTTTTCCCCGAGATTTTAATAACGTTTTTCCTTGACGCTGCCTGCAGTTAAGTTTATGTGCTGCATGAACTGGAAGTGGGTTTGGCCCCCGTGGAGACCGTTAGCTTCCCTCCCGCTGGCCTGCTCAGAGCTCACGGGCTTTTCGCCTTTCCCCTGGTCCCCTGCCACCTCGGCTGCCCCGTCTTGTACTGGGAAGATGTTCATGTGTGACGACTGGTGGGCCACAACCCCTCGCCCACCTCTCATTCTTCCTTAAACTTCCTGGGCCCTCCGTGTGTGTGTACTCATCTAGATAGATTTTAGAATGAACTTATCACACCCTATTTTTTTAAATCCCCTGTGGACTCTGGAGGGAGCCAGGGGGTCCTGACACAGGGAAGAGGGGTGTCAGGAGGCTCAAAGGTCCCTTCTTTCTAGATACCTTTCTCGGGCGGCCTTGTGGTGGCCTTGTCTGGCCATGGGCCAGGCCCCCTTTTGCAGACCTGCCTGCTGCGTAGGTCCTGCTTCTTCCCCAAGGAACACACCTGCCTCCGCAGGTGCACCCCAGTGCCGCTGTGCTGGGGTCAGTCACACAGACACAAGCCCCCGGAAAGCGGAACAGCATGAGCTCAAAACACGGACCCCACTGGGCCTCTCTGCCCGAAAGCCCCCTCCCTGGGAGTGGGAGAAGGGGCTGCCTCCTGCCCCTCTAAAGAGCCATCACTGTGTTCTAGACAAATACAACGACTTCATCGAGGCCAATCGCATCGAAGACTCGAGGGAGCGGATGAAGACACTGCGGAAGCTGGTAAGGAAGGACAGAGGCGGTTAGGCAAAAGGGGGGCAGGAGGCGGGAGGGCATGGGTACCCGTGTCCCCAGTACCCTCCGTGACCTTGCGGAGGCCTGTGTCCACTCTGGGCCTCCCTTTCTCCTCCTGGATATACAAGGGTGCCCCTTAGGGCATAGATTCAGGCCCCAGTGGGGAAGTCTCCGGGTGTGGTGGGAGGAGGCACCATCACAATCTGTGCCCTTCTTTTTCCCGCCCAGATCCGGGATCTCCCTGGACACTACTATGAAACGCTCAAGTTCCTTGTGGGTCACCTGAAGACCATTGCTGATCACTCTGAGAAAAACAAAGTAGGTGGCCGCCATGAGGGTGTGTGGGAGGGAAGCACGCGGGGCTCCTCCAAACCCCAGATAATCTCCACCCCACCCCACCTGATGTGCCAGCCAGAGCCTCACCCCAAGGAATTTCCAGACGCAGAGAGCCACTGTCCCCTGTGTCTAACGGACACCTGTCTTCTGATCTAGCCCAAATCCCTTGTATTCAGTTTTCCCAATAAGTATCTTCTGGTTCTGCAGTGGGGGAAATGAGAAGGGCTGTAGGATTTCTCCCGGTGCTAAAATAGCCGGGGACCCCCACAGTGGGCCCCCACTTTGGGCTCTCCCAGAGCTGGCACAGGTGGGTGTGCAGGTCAGCCACCGCCCTAGCTGCGCGACCTGGGCGAGCAGGGCTGGGGCTGGCCTGTGCGCCGCGGGCCAGGCACGTCCACCCCTGCAGGAGAGGGCCTGACTCCTCAGCCTGGGCCCTGGGGTGAGGGAGGCCTGGGGCTGCAGGTTGGCCCTCACAGGGATGTTGGCCATGACCTGCTGCCCTTTCTGGCCAGATGGAGCCCCGGAACCTGGCCCTCGTTTTTGGGCCAACACTGGTGAGGACGTCTGAGGACAACATGGCGGACATGGTGACGCACATGCCCGACCGCTACAAGATAGTGGAGACGCTGATCCAGCACGTAAGAGCTGTCCCCGCCGTGTCCACATGGTGTCCTGTGCGCCCGCCTCCCCTGGGCGAGGGTGAACACCTCTCAGAAGCATCAGAAACGGCTCTCAGACTCCCCGTGGTCCTGGGAAGTCGAGTCCCAGCAGGAGGATCAGGAGGCCTTAGGTCTCTGTGGGGACAGAGGGAGGAGGGTCAGGGAAGGTGCCGCTGTGCTGGAGAGCAGAAGGGGTGAAGGCAGGGGTGCCTCAGAAGCTGGTCCTGAGGAGAGACAGGCAGGGAGGTGCAGGGCAAGGGCAGGATTCTGCCCGGGGAAGCCCACTGCCGCCTGGGGAGGAAATGGTAATGCCCCAGGTAGGGGAAGGGGCAAAGCCCAGGGTCTGGGGAGTCCTGCTGTTGTCCTTGAAGGGGGACAGCACAGAGCGGCCAGCAGAGGGCGTAAAAGGTCTTTGTCGTCCAGAGCCAAAGCAAGTCAGCGCCGCCCCCTTCTGGAGTGCGTGCTGGGGGATTTTTATGACTCCTCAGATTTTCCATTTCTGAAATTTTTTAAGGTTATTTATTTGCTTATGTATTTATTTGTTAATATGCATACAAAACCTGGAGTGTAGGCCGGAGGTGCAGGGGGTGAAAGGATTCACCAGAGACAGTGGGAGACAGAACAGGCGGATCTAGTCAAACACACAGCTGAGGGGAGCAGCAGGTGGGACAGGAGAGGTCTGCCGCGCCATGTGGGTAGCTCCCTGACCTGGGATTGAACTCATGCTGCAGTGGCTGCGGATATTCTCCATGGTGCTGCGCTTTAACCCCTTGCGCCACCAGGGAGGGCCCAGCCCCAGGACTCTAAGCCAGGTCTTCTTGACCAAAACCTGTGTTTTACTGCCTATCTACTGGGGCGGCTGGCTTCCCAGTATGCCCTCGTGCTGACTCAGAGTTAGGGAGGCTGGCCAGGGTCAGTGAGGCGAGGCAGGGCCTGACTGGCCTGCTGCCCCACTGCGGTGCACAGTCAGGGTGCTGAGCCCAGGAGGGGGCATTGTGGCCCATTATCTTCCTAACATTGGGACTACCGGGCCCCACACCTCAGGCTGTCAGTGAGGCCAGCGCTGCTGGGCAGTGTCAGGGGCCCTGAGGAGGCCTTGGTCTGTGGAAGCTTACCTCCCTTGGAGACATTCAGTGCCCCAACCCAACAGGGAACCCCCATGAGTATGTGCTTTGGCCAGGGAGCGGGGCAGGCAGCAAAGAAGAGAGGGGAGCTGGCCCTGTGGCTCTTGGAGACATCTCTGGAAGCTCGTCAGGAACAGCAGCCTTCAGGGAGAAGGGAGGCCAAACTGTCCACTTACTCTCTCGCAGAGTCCCCAGCCCACAGCAGCCCCTCCTCTGGGCGGGGGAGGGCAGCACACCTGTCTCCTTCGTGGGTGTGTTCCCAGCACCAAGCCTGCGCCCAGTGCGAGGCAATGCTCGGTGTTTGTTGAGTGACTGAATGAATGAATTGCTCTTGAGGTCTGGGAAGGCAGCCTGGGCTTCCCCACTCAAGCATCATCCTAGCAAGCGGCTGAGCTTGTTCCCCTCCACTCTTTACCTCCTTTGAAAAGTCAGGATGACTTGAGCTAGCGTGAATTCTTCCCAGAAACCATGGGGCCACTGGAATCTGGAGCACTTTTGTATACCCTCAAATCTGAACTAAACACCAGTTTCCCTTAGGCTACCTCTGATCGATCTGTGTGAGCTGACGCCTTCGAATTCTAATAGCTAATCCATCATGCACTAGTGTGTGGTGCTAAATGTCTCACACATGGCACTCCAGTTGTTGTTTATTTTTTTAAAGATATTTTATTTATACATACAGAACTGGGGTACAGGCCAGAAGCTCGGGGGGTGAAAGGATTCACCAGAGACAGAGTGGGGAGCAGAACCGGCAGATGTACACTGCTGAGGGGAGCAGTGGGAGGTCAGTAGAGGTCTGCTGCGCCATGTGTCAGCTCCCTGCCTGGAGATGGAACTCGTGCTGCAGCGGCTGCCATCGCTTTATGGTGCTGCTCTTTAACCCACTGAGCCTCCAGGGAGTGCCCCGGACTTCATTTTAATCCTCTCCACAATTCCAGTGGACACTCATACTCCACCCATTTTACAGATCAGTAAACAGAACCTGAGACTGCTGCCTCCTGATCTTGCACTTCTATCCCTCTTGATCTGTTTCTCTCACTCTCATTTGTTCGTTTGCTTCTCTTCCGGTGCCTCTTATTTGAATTAGTCAGATGGCTGATGATGAAGAATAAAAACTGAGGTTCATGGCACACGGTCCGGTCACAGTCAGCTTTGCAACTCTCACTTCCCTCCTTCCCTCCAGCCCCGCCTTGTCCCTCACCCCCGCCCCAACAGACCCACCCTGATAGGTTAATGTGCTCTTCTGCCCAGTGCTATACCCTTACTGTGAATAGACGGGCAGCTGGAAGCACATGACCTGTTCTCTGTGTGTCTTAGAGCTGCACACGTGGGCTTGTGTGTTGCCAGTTCCCATTTTTTCAAAGTAGAAGGGGATGGGCTTAATGTTAACGCTATTTTTTAGAGTTCCTTTTTTTTTTTTTTAAGATTTATTTATTTGTACAGAACTGGGGCACAGGCCAGAGATGCGGAGGGTGAGAGGATTCACCAGAGACAGAGTGGGGAGCAGAACAGGCAGATTGACGAAGTACACTGCTGAGGGGAGCAGCAGGCGGGTCGGGAGAGGTCTGCTGCGCCATGTGGTCACCTCCGGGGCAGGCGGGGATTGAACTCATGCGGAAGTGGCCCAAGCTTCTCTGTGCTGTGCTTTAACCCGCTGCGCCACCAGGGAGGGCCCTAGAGTTCCTTTTTATAGGGACTACTACATAATAACCTGATATTGACTTAAAATATTTTTCCTCAGCCTGTCACTTGTCTGTTACCTTTGTCTAGAATATTGTTCCCCATGATTTTGTGAGAGAACCTTGGGCAAAACATATAAGAGGTCGTCTGTGCCTTTGCGTAGTAAACTTTCTGATGTCTTAAAATAACTTTATTTCACGCTCAAAATTAATTGAGAATTTGTCAGGGCACAAAATTCTAGATTCAAATTGTATTCCTTCAGCATATTGAAAATATTACTTCCTGGTGTTCTTGGATGTACTGCTGTTGAATGTGCTAATTATACCAGGTATTTATTCCTTTGTAAATAACATGTTTTTATTTTTTGGAAAGCTTTTCAAAAGTTTTATCTCCAAGATTCTCAAATTCATAAAATATACTGGAATGGGATTTTTATTTTCTATCCCGTTGGGCACTTATGAGAAAGCTCTTGCATGCCGGCCGTCCAGGAGACCTCCCGACACCTCCGAACTTTACACCTTTTCTGGGTGGGGGTGGGCCTTCCCAGTGGTCGCTGGGTGCCGGTCGCCGCTCGAGCCTCAGGGCCTTCCCGCTGCCGCCCGCTGGCTGGCACTAGGTGGCGCTGCAGCCCACCGCCTGCGCAGTAGGGAGCAGCAGAGACCGCGCCTGTGGAGAGGAGAGGAGCCGGGAGGGGGCCGCCCAGGGCCTCCCGCGCGGGCCCAGCCTTTTCTCTCCCTGTGGTCCCTCAGTCTGTGGGGGCGGGTTCCGGGGCCTGTGTCCCTCCCTCTTAGGTGTCTCTAGCAGCCAGGAGTGTGTTGAGAAAAGGGGGAGGGGCCACCGTTCGTCCTGCGCCCCCTCCTGACCTGTGCCTGGGTGGGTCCTCTGAGCAGCGGGGAGCAGAGCGGGGAGCAGAGCGCTGTCTCCTGACTCCCCGCAGCTCTGCCCACGCTGACTATTTACTTCCTTTTGTCTCCTCTGCAGTCAGACTGGTTCTTCAGTGATGAGGAGGACAAGGGAGAGAGAGTAAGTGCTGAAGTGGTCTGGGGAGGGGCAGGGGTCGTCTGGTCCCAAGTGGGCTTGCTCCCAGGTATGTGTTAGAGGCAGCAGCGACATTCAGCAGGGGAATGTCTTGTCCAGAGCGACAGAGGAAATGTAGACCTTCTCCTCAGGCGTCCCCTCTCTGAGGGAGATACAGTCCTTGCCCTCACAGTCCCTCATCCCGGGGAGAAACACAGGCCCCGCCCTGAGGAAACCAAGCCCATAGCACAGGCGGTAACACAGGCCGTCCCCACCTGCCAGCATTTTGTGAAGGTCCTGAGGCTCAGGAAGGTCCCGTCTGATGGTGGAGATGTGGCTGAGGAGTAGCCTTGGCTCAATCACAGTGTGGAAAGACACAGAACAGTCCAGAGTGCGCCTGACAGGATGCACCTGCCCTGATGAGCCCCTGTGCTGTGGGCCTATCACCTGGGGCATGCTGGCTGACCCTGTTCCTGTTCGCAGACCCCTGTGGACGACAAGGAGCCTCAGTCAGTCCCCAACATCGAGTACCTCCTGCCCAACATTGGCAGGACAGTGCCCCCGGCTGACCCAGGTTCAGGTGAGTGTAGGGCCTGGGCGGGGTGCGGCTGGAGGTGGGCACTCCTGAGGGCCCCAGACTCTGGCCAGATGCCCAGCTGTCCTGCCCCGACTGCGGCTGGGCTCTGGCAGGCCAGCTCCCTCTCTGAGGAGGCCCCGCTTGCCTGCGTGTCCTCCCTCCTGCTCGGCTGCCCCTCCCCAGGGCTGGGCAGGAGCTTTGTTCTCCCTCCGTCAGTTTTCTTTCCTGAGCTTTTTATTCCTCACGGGCTCCGTTCTTCCGGGCATGTTCCTCTTTTTAATTTTTCTTCCTTTTCTTCTTGCACCCCTCTGCCCCTCCTCCCTCTTCCCCTGTGCATTCCTCCCATCCCCGGCCCTGCCCCTCCTCCCTCCTCCCCTTCCTCTCCTCCAGCGGACCTGTTGGAGATTTAAAGGGTACAGTGCGGAGTCGCGGCCTTGGTCACTAACAGTGGCGGGTGATTATAAGAAGGCTGGGCAGGCCCCCGGGCCCGTGAGGACCCCCCTACACACCAGCTACCTGTGCCAGTCAAGAGCTTCCCGGGCAGCTTGGCCACAGCCCTCCTCAGGAGGAAGGGGCACTGGTCGGAGCCAGATCCTCTCTCTGTTGCCTGTGTGCTGCAGGCTGCCCCCTGAGTCCCACAAACTCAGCATCCTCCTCTGTTCTTGGCTGGGTCACTGCTTAGCCAGGCTGTGGGGGGTTCGGCTGGCAGCAGGACTCAGCCTCTTCAGACACCAGTGGTGTCACCCTCAAAGCCTCCCTGTATCTGTAACTCCTACCTGAGTTGCCTCAAGGGGCTGGGTCTTCCTGCTTCTAAAACAAGAGCCCCTGGTCATTCAGTCCTAAGTCCTGCTTCCCAAGCTCTGACCCTCACATAGCAGAGCACCCCAACCACAAAGGATAGGCCAGATCCCCTCTTGCCTTAGGCCACTAGCTCCTCCCACCCTTCCGGTGAGCTCCCTTTAGTTTCTTGCCTCCGACAGAGGCAGACTGCAGCTCCCCTCACTGCAAGAGGAAGTCTGGGGCAGGGGCCAGGAGACGTGGGGTTGACAGACAAGAGCCCCTGTCTCTTCTAATCACTTGCTGCCGCTTCCCTGACCTGTGTGTGTCCTGTGTGGTCGGCCCATCTGCTCTTCTCACCTTGTGGGGGGGGGGGGGGGTGGGGGGGAGTTGGGAGGAGGCGTCTAACTTGCTTGCCTGAGAGTGTGGATTAACCGCACCTGCCTGATGGGACCCCAGGAGGTCTTTGGATTGGCCTGTCCCCTTCCTAGTCCTATACAGGATACTGCCAGGACTTGTTTCTGGTTCCTTCTCCGCCCCCCCCCATAATAATAATAAAGAAGTAGGCCCCAAGGCCCACAGATGTCGTGACTTTAACCTTGTTAATAATTCTGGTGATAAACAGGGATCTGGCCCTATAAGGGCAGCCTGACTTAGGGCTAGAGGTGGCACCAGGGCACCCCCTCCTGTGTGCACCCTCTTCACGTCTGCCCCACACCCTGTGGTCCCTTTTCCTCCTTATGACCTGGAAGTTGGGAGGTGGGATGTCAGGGGGTACCCACCTCTGTGCACACTGTGGGCTCCATTTCTCCAGAGCATCTGTGATTTGCTGTGTTTCACTGTTGTGGTTTTCGTGGGCTGCATCTGATCTGTGGCATTTTCTCTCCAGTGCTTCAGAGTAACAGGGACAGTTAGGGAGGGGAGGGGAACTAGGCCCCAAAGGAAAACAAAACAAAACAAAATAAAACCTTGCCCATAATCCTGGGCAAGGGAGGGTCCAGTGGCTGACAGCCTGATGTCACTTCCTGCCTCAAAAAGAAGTGGCAATTGACATCATTTTCTGCTCCATCCTGTCCCACAGTGAATGACATTAGAAGCCTGTCATGTTCCCAGGGCCTGGGGAGAGCTGGGGTTTCTCAGCTCCCTGGTGTCTGAAGCCTTTGAGGAGAGGGAATTGTGTTGGTAAGACAGCCTTTTCTTTGCCCTGATCCACCTTTCTTTTTTTCTTCTGTTTCTCACCAATAGATTCTACCACCTGTAGTTCAGCCAAGTCCAAGGTAAGTGCCATGGCAATTCCGTAGGCTTCACCTCTGCTCAGGTCAAGGCGCCTCTTGGCTGGGAGAATGGGGAGTATTACACTTGGGCCATGACGAAAGTTGAGGTCACCAGTAAGAGTGGTGGGAAACAGCGAGGTTCGGAGGCGAACTGAGCAGTCGTGGGCCTCGGCAGTGCTCTGCGGGGCTCCTGGTATAGGATGGCTGGCCTTGGGAGCTGGGTGGTCAGGGCCAGGGTCACCCGTGTTTAGAAGCACAGATGTCCGAGTTTGAGGCCCAGCCTTGCCTCTTAGTGCCTTTGGGACCCTGGGCGAGTTACTTAACCTCTGTGTATCCTCAGCTTTCTTATCTAGAAATGATGGTTAGATTTATCCTCATCAAGGGGCCGAACAACACATAATTATTCTTTAAGATATAATAATTACTCAGGTCTTTGGGGACCCCAGAGCAAAGAGAGGGAAAGAAGTGATAAAATGCAGAAATCAATGAAACTCTGAAAATCAATGAAACAAACACTGGTTTTTGAAAAAAAAAAAATGGATAAACTTGATAAACCTTTAGCCAGATTGTAAAAAGCAAAAAGAGGGCAGCACAAATGACCAGTGTCAGGGAGAAATGGGGTCGTCCTAGCTGCTGCAGACATTCAAAGAGCCGTCAGATTAGTTAACAACTCTGTGCCCATAATGCAACAGCTTAGACATAGTTCTTTGAAAGCTTCAAACTACCAAAACTCAGGTAAGACATAGAGCACCTGGGGCCTCCTCTCAGCACTGCCAAGCTATAGCCCGCCAATGAGCCCCAGCCACTTTGATCCCTGGCCAGGGCGCTGACCCACATGGCGCGCCAGGCCTCTGCTGTCTCCCCACTGCCCCCTCAGCAGAGTGTTTCAGTAGATCTGCCTGTTCTGCTCCCCACTCTCTCTCTGGTAAATCTTCTCATTCCCCCACACATACACTCTGGCCTACACCCCCAGTTCATGTAGCATAAATTAAAGAAGAAAAAAAATAAAAATAACAACAAAACAGAGCACCTGAATAGTACAATACCTACTAAAGAAATTGACTTCGAAGCCTTCCAACAAAGAAAATTCCAAGTCCAGGTGCTTTCACTGGTAAATGCTGCCACACATTTCAGAAAAAATAAAGTCAATTTCTAAAATTTCTTCCAGAAAATAGAAGGAAATTTTTCCAAGTCATTTTATGATACCAGTAGTGCCTAATGTCAAAACCCAGCAAGGCCCCTGTGTGGAGTCTTAAACCACTTTTGGCAGCGGAGTTGGTTGGCTTGATCTGGGCTTGGGGATCGTCAGGGGGCAAGGTGCTGGCAGGGAGTGGAAATGCTTAGGTGGTGGGTGTGGTGGGAGAGGGAAGAGAAGGTGGGCTGGTTGCCCTGGAGAGGCCAGAATAGAGTGGATGGAGGGGCAGGCTTGCGGGTGAGGGGAGCAGCGTTGGAGAGGGCCCCGCTTGGTGACCAAAGCCCCGTGGTGCATGCCAAATGGCCTGTCAGCGAGCCCACCACGGAGGTCTGTTCTCACCAGAGCTGTTTCTTGAGGTGGATGTGGAAAATGGAGCGAAAGTGGCTGGCTGCGTGGGAGGGGGGCTGCCCACCCACCCTCACCCCCACTACACCCTCTAAGCACCCCTCCCCCAGCTCACAGGGAAGAGCTGAGAGTCTGGACCCAGCCCTGAGGGGGTGCCAGGGAGGCTTCAGATGCTGGGGAGAGGGAGCAGGAGTCTCCAGAGAGGCCGTGCCGCTGCAGGACACGGGTCCAGGACCGTCAGTGCTGCTGCTGTGCTGGCCTTGGCTGGCCCTGTGGCGCCTGGGGTGACGGTGGGGGAGTGTCTGTGGGACTGGCCCTCTGACCCGGGCTGAGAGGGGAGGCACGGGCCGGGGCGCCAGCCCAGTCCCAGGCCTCACTCGCATGGGCCTGTCTCCCGCAGGGCTCTTGGGCCCCCCGGAAGGAGCCCTACACCCGGGAGATGCTGGCGATCTCCTTCATCTCGGCCGTCAACCGCAAGCGGAAGAAGCGGCGCGAGGCGCGGGGACTGGGCAGCAGCACCGACGACGACTCAGAGCAGGAGGCGCACAAGCCGGCCGTGGGGGCGCCGGCGCTGGGGGCGCAGGACCCACCCGCCGGGCTGCC